CGTGGGGGGGGGGGGGGGGCGAGGTAAGACGAAGCTCCTGCTCGCTGCCACTCCACTCCCAAGAAGCCAGGCAAGCAGACTCAGCGCATTGGTAGAACCGCCCACCCGGGGGGGCGGGGGCGCTAGCGCCTGCCTTGGTTACAGTAAGCAGGCCCTCAGCTGGAGACAAGCGCCCTGAAGGGGCCGCCGTCGCCGCCGCCTTCTCCTTTTCGCTTCTTGTCTGGGGCGGCCTCTTCAGGATCCAGCGAACGTCGCTTCTGTCAGGAGCAAAGTTTCCACTTCCCCTGCGCACCAGAGCCGTCCATCAACCCAGTCGGTGGCAAATAGCGTTGTCCGACGACCCAGCAGTAAACCACAACGTTACATGGGAAATGGTTGGTTTGTTTGTTTGTATAGTCACAGTCTGGATATGCGGTTTTGCTTGAAACAGAGAACATACCTTTCTCACAGAAAGAGGGAGTCGGGAGATACCATTACTATAGAAAGGCTGTACTAAAAGATATGACAAGAATGCCCACTAGGAACAATGGGAGATGCCTGAAAGTCCATTGAATATAATGAGAGCCGGCAATGACTCATCCTGCTCTGGGGGCTGTCATGCCAGTTTCAGAACACCCTGTTCCCAGAGGGCATTATTCCATTCTGGGGGCTGTCATGCCAGGACCAGAGCAGGTTTTTAAAAAACCTGTTCCTCATTTTCTTTGCAGTTTTTGTATGCTGTAATAGATTACAATGAAGCCCATGCAAGTCATTTGGCGTTCCTGTCTTCCATGATATCCAATGGGCCTCCAGGCAGCTCCCATTGTTCCCAAGAGCATCCTTGTCATTTCTTTTAGTACATTCCCACTACAGACATCATCCCAGTCTCTGCATACACAATCTATTTAAACCGGACTCAATGTTTAACCCAGTGATTCTTAACTTTTAATCTGCTAGCATCCATGAAGTATGCAGCATTATCATCCCTCCACCCAAGTGCCAAGTAAAAACTGGTACAGAATGGAAACAAAAATATTGTATATCCTGCTGATGGATGCATGGGTAATTTTATGAAAACCACATAACATTCAGTCATGAAGCAGGATAGAGTTATACACATTTTATTTTCTCTGGTTAGATACTATAGTCTTATGCTGTTCAACTGTATGCTTTTATTTGTTGTATCCATTGTTCACTTTGGGATAAACATTTCTTTTTCTGAAATTGGAGTCATTTGGTCTTTGCAATGACAATGCTTTGAATCACATCAAGGCATGACAGAGGTGGGGAGGGTTTAGTTGGGAATATATCTAACACAATTTTGTATTACCTCACTTTCTGATATTTTGAGATTGGCTCCGTCTCCAGGGCAGCCATTTTGCGGTTATGCCTGCCAATTTATGTCAGAATTCCAAAGGAGCTCACTGGCTGAAAAAGATTAGAGACTCCTGTGTTCCTCCAAGTGGAATTGCAACTGATCTTGAGGCTACAAACATCAGTTCCTCTGGAGAAACTGGCGGCATAGGAGAGTGGACTGTATGGCATAATATACTGCTGAGGTCCCTCCCCTCCCCAAACCCTGCCCTCCCCAGGTTTCACCCCCGCATCTCCAGGAATTTTCCAACCCAGAATTGGCAACCCTGGGGTGAGCAGCTTAAAGCAACTACCCTTCTCTGGCTGTAAGAAGTGATAACAAGGGGGTAGAAGAGGCTACAAAAACTTCCAAATGTTCCCACTTGCCCTCAAATTCTGAATAACCCCAACATTTGTAGATTGCCCCTCTTAAAAATCACTGCTTTAACCCCAATGTGTCAGGATTAAACATAATAATACTGCACAAAAACCTTGTTTCTTCTCTTTTGATCTAAACCTGGACTCTTGGACTTTGGATGGTTTTTGCATTTATTGAAAAGACAAAGAATGGACAACATGGACTGAATACAACTTCCCAGAGAATGTGCAGAGAATTCCAGCAACAAAGTTAAGCTAATTGCCTGCTTTCATCCCTCAGACAAGGCATGGAAGATCAGACTTTAACACCCCAAACCTGAAGAAACTGCTTTCCACCTTTCCATCTTTTTAAGTTTTGTAACATCCAGACTGAAGAAGAGTTCTGGTGAGCTCAAAACTTTCACAATGTTATGTGTCAATTTACTTGGTCCTAATAAAAGGGATTACATAGATTTAGTTCTTAGAGTTGCCAAATTCCAGGTGGTAGCTGGAGATCTCCTGGGATTACAACTAATCTCCAGGTGACAGAGATAAATTCACCTGGATAAAATGGCCACTTTGGAAGGTGGACTCTATGTAGATTGCTAAACCTGTGTTCAGATCTACAGCTCTGGCACAGGAGACAGAAGCAATTGAAAGAAGTGTACCTTAACCCAGTATTTCCCACCCTTTTCAAGTACAAAGGCCCCTCTTAACAAAAATGTCATGGACCCCCCACAGTATTAGTTGTACTATTTGTATCTGTTGATTGAGCAAATACATAATGACAAAGAGATTCATGGACCCCCTGCAGTACTCCACACCTCCCCAGGGGTCCTTGGTGCCCACACTGGAAATCACTGCCGTAATCTTTAAAAAACAAGAGTATGGCGTGCAACAGCAAGCCAACATGACTCTTAGAACCATATAGATGCCAGAACAATAGCGGCAACAATGATTGGTTAGTCTGCTGTGCAGATAATTGTGCACTGGTGCATAGCTAATTGTCAACCAATCCACTGTAGATTGCATGAGTCAGCTGAACAATGGGCATCTAATTTTTCTAATTAGATGCCATTTCTGCTTAGTAGAACATTGTCAATCTCTGGTCAATTTCTGATGATCAACATGCCTTCTTGAGTATAAGTGGTTTCAGGGCAATACAGTTTTAGTTGAGGATAAAAAGTCTACAGTTCTTCAAGATTCTCATCAGAACTATAATCACAGCTAGGTAGCCATACTTGTCTGTAACAGCATAATCAAGAGGTCCGTGACTAGCAAAAAATTAACAACATTAATTCCAGGATAAACTAAAACTCTGGCTCACAGAAGCTTAAAATAAATAAAATGAAGAATATAATCCATACGTTAATTTGGTTTGTTGTTCTTTGGGCATTTTTCATGGACCAATATGGCTGTTTACAAGTTTTTTCAGCCTTTAAGGTGCCATTGAACTCCTGTTTCAATAGGACAAAAATGCTAAATGGTAGAAACATTGACAAGTCATAGCCTATCACAGCTCTCAAGAAGGTTGCATGTTAACCGTAAGGAAATATTTCAGTACAGTGTTACCTCTCTGTGTTATATTTTTACCCGTTCTCTGGTAACTGTTCTTCTTTCTGAAACATCCTGTGCTCTCTCTTCTATTTGTACCATCACAGCTCCTCTGTTAATACTCCTTTTCTCACTACTTCTGATGGTGGTGGAGAGTCTTCTCTCTCTGCATCTCAAAGTGCACACACTCTCTGTGCAGCTATGTACAACACTTTCAGGTGGAGAGTCTTCTCTCTCTGCATCTCATAGTGCACTCACTCTCTGTGCAGCTCTGTACAACACTTTCAGTCTACCTGCAATTCAAGCCTTGGAGAAAGTCTGAGATTCACACAGGCTATGAAGCTGGTAGGTTGACCCAGGCTGGAAGAACCGGTACAACTTCTGGAGATACGTGATTCTAATTTTGCTAATGAAAGTCTGTCTTGAACCGCACCCCATTTGGCAAGATTCTTAACATCACAAAAATTACTCTCAAGCCTTTTGACCTGACACTTGTTTTGGCACCTTGTTGTTTGGGTTCATTTTCCAAGTGAGCAGGAGGCGCTGAGGCAACAAGGGGAGTGACTCAGCATCCCTGGGTCACCATTCATCCAGAAAAAATTCCCACCAAATAGAATGATCCCAACTGATGTTATTGTGCTATTTTCACTTCTCATCTAGCATATCTCAGTGCCTTGGGGAAGATTTTGTGAACTTATAGAAGCAAGGGTCCTGGTTACCTTAAGTATTCTGTTATGTGGGACTGCAAATATGCTCATCTAGGCAAGTTTGCTTCTATTAATTCAATTTTTATTTTATTTAGTTAAACATTTCTCTCAAAGTGGGACCCAAAGGCACTTATAAAAATCCCAAAACACATTTGTATAGGGTTAGCCACTCATGCCAGTCCAGGAATGAGAGGGAATCCTGTACTTTTTCAGTACAGTAAACAATGAACCCAGAGGTAGGCTATACCCTCTCTGGTTTTCAGAACAAGGTGCCACCAGAACCTCTTTTCAATAGTCCCTGCTTTTCCTAAGGGAGAGATTCCAAATCCTTAGTTAGCATCTGGGATTTAACACAATAGCAACTCTATCTCAGAGATGCACGCTTTACTCTTACCAAGGTAGCATATGGGGTGAACGTTAGGCACTAGACTCAGACTTGGAATCCAAGTTACAACATCATAGACAAGTTAGCAACAAACAAAGGATCTTTATTCAGTACAGAGCACAGCATAGACTATCAAAGATTACCAAAATAACAAAGGCTAGGGCTTTTTGCCTTAACTAAACATTAAAGATTCATAGTTACCAAGGTCAGGATATTCATCAGTCCAACATAGTCCAAGTACCAAGGGATTTTCACAAAGCAACTCTTTGTCTCTCAAGAGGCAGCATTTCCAGGCATCATAAAACAGACGACAACAAGGGGAGGAAGGGAAGCTAAGAGAGCAAGAGCTAAGAGACCCACTCCCATAGTGATCAATGGAATTATACCCCAATCTAATCGCAATCAGCTTTGGCCATTCAGCCAATCACAAGCAGCAGGGGTGTGTAGCCAATTGTTGGTTGCCATAGCTGCGTGTGGGGATAGGCTAGAAGTTTGGAGGCCCCTCCTGCAGTCAGGTGACCCAGCTTCCAGCTTCTCCATGATGTACGTGACATGGCCCATGTAGCCTTAAAGCAGGCA